CCTGAACGCACCAGCAGGACCTGAACGCACCAGCAGGACCTGAACGCACCAGCAGGACCTGAACGCACCAGCAGGACCTGAACGCACCAGCAGGACCTGAACGCACCAGCAGGACCTGCTTCTTACATTGTTGGAGCAGCAGCGGTTCGTCTTCCGTCTCCAGAACCTGGTGAAAACGCCTTCAATCTGGGCTCGGTTCGGCAGCGGGACGCAGCGGCTAACCGTAAGAGACTTCCGGTGTTTCTCTACGGTTCGGCTCAGTTTCAGGGCTAAAAGAGGCGGAACCGGCCGTAAAAACCCAGAAGCAAGCTAACGTTAATGTTGGGTTTCTGCTGCGGGGAAACCAGCTGACATGAACACAGAGCGGGTTTGGACCGTGTTCGGTCCGGTACCGGGGCTACACACCTGTCCGTGTCTCGGTTCCGACCTGAAGTGCTGGGTTCGGATGAGGACGGGAGGGGGAGTGGGTTTCCCATGGCTACACCAAGCTTTCTGGGCTCGTTCAGACCCAGACGGCGGTTCCGAGTTCTGCTCGTCTCGTTTGGGCTCAGGTGTTGTTTGAGGCTCAGGTGAATCACCGGGACAGGTGAGGACCGGGAGTCGTGACGTCGCCCCGCGGGGCTGCAGGTTCTGTCCGGCTCCTCACGGTCCTCACCGAACCTGGTTCTGCCAGCCCGAACCGGGCCACTCTCACTCTCACTTCTCTCCCCGCAGGGTTCGGAAGCCCCGGCATGAGGCGGACCGGCGGCCGCAGCCCTGCCCGGTCCGGAGGCTGCTGGTAGGGATGGTTCCGGTGTGAGGACCCGGAGGTTCGGATCAGAGGAGCCACAGGACCGGACCGGACCGGGAGGTTCGGCAACATGACGGGCTGCAACCCGGACAACGTGGAGGAGTTTTATGAGATTGGAGACGAGCTGGGCAGGTGAGCTGGACCCGGTTCTGGACCAGTTCTTCAGGTTCTGAGGAGGTTCTGAGAGGTTCTGAAGGGGTTCTGACAGGTTCTGAAGGGGTTCTGAGGAGGTTCTGACAGGTTCTGAAGGGGTTCTGACAGGTTCTGAGGAGGTTCTGACATGTTCTGAGGAGGTTCTGACAGGTTCTGAAGGGGTTCTGACAGGTTCTGAAGGGGTTCTGAGGAGGTTCTGAAGGGGTTCTGAGGAAGTTCTGAAGCGGTTCTGACAGGTTCTGAGGAGGTTCTGAAGGGGTTCTGACAGGTTCTGAGGAGGTTCTGACAGGTTCTGAAGGGGTTCTGACAGGTTCTGAAGGGGTTCTGAGGAGGTTCTGAAGGGGTTCTGAGGAAGTTCTGAAGGGGTTCTGACGGTTCTGACAGGTTCTGAGGAGGTTCTGACAGGTTCTGAGGAGGTTCTGACAGGTTCTGAGGAGGTTCTGAAGGGGTTCTGACAGGTTCTGAGGAGGTTCTGACAGGTTCTGA